TCTCTTACCTGGTGGGGTGGGTGTTGCCAGTGTTGGCGATGGCCTTGGAGTTCTTTGGTCAACGGAAGTTGATGTACTACTTGGAGTGGTCACCCGAGTTGCGGTCGAAGCACTTGGACTTTCCATGCTGTTTTCTGCTACTGGATTATTCTTTCCACCAACCATACCAATAACATCAAGCAAAGAATCATCGTCACTGTCTGCCAAATCATTTCCCACATCACCGAAGCCATCATTTGGCATCTCTTTGTTTGTCTCAGGTGAAATGCCAACATGGTCAGTGAAAATAGGTTCTAGTTTGAAAAAGTTCTTGCCCCTTTTCCTTACTAGGTCTTGGAAGCTGCCTTCATCTGTTGCCAACAGGCCAACGCCAGTTTCTGTGTACATGAAATCCCGTGCAACCTTATAGGCTTGTTCAATTCCTCCAATCTTGTCTCTAACCTGTTCAGCAGTTCTTTCAATCTTGATTCCTTTCGTTTTAAGCATGTTTTGTATGCGGATCAAAAGATCATGTTGCACCTCAATGTGCGGACAAATTGAAGCCGCGGGAACAGTGGAAAAACCCGGACAAATATAAGGATTATTCCAGCTTGAATGGTCGTGGTAATCGACAAAATATGCAACGTGATGAGAAGGCAACGCGTGATGATGAATCAAGAGATTCAAATACTCAATGGAACTATGGACATTCCAACAATGGATCCCATGGAGGACAATTTATTCAACGAGGACATACTGACAATGATTTTTACCACAAGGGATAATGTTGTTCCAACTCAACAATACTGGTATCCACTTGGACAGTGGATCTACTTTTCACTTGCAAACCAATGAGGATGACTTTAAAGAAGGAACTCTACAAGGAATTGATGGAGGATTTCATTATAGGCTTGAGATCTGGTGGGAGTACTGTGTCTTTGAGGTGCTTTTGCTACCGTTACCACCGCGGTAATTGCTGTAGTTGTTGGCTGTAAGGAGCCACTCTAGGAGGATAGTTTACCGAATTGACTGGATCAGTCGGGCCATTTGGGTCATCTTTATCCCAAGGGACCCGGGATGATGCCTTTGAGCTCTGAATGGCCAAGTAACAAGCCTTGGTGCAAGCCCAAAACACTTCCCCGTCATTATTTTTCATAATATTCAAATTGTGCTTGTTCAATACCTGCGTGGAAGTGTTTTGGGCACGTCAAGTTCGCACATTCAACAAGACCACGATGGGCATCAGTCTTTTGCGAGCATCGCTTCTTGTATGAACAGGTTTTCAAAACAGTTCCAGTACTCATGATGATATGGGGAGCTGTTTCAAAAAGAATGTACTCGTACACAACATCGATGGCATTTTTCCTTCACTGTCATAGTCCGCCATACCAAAAATGGAGGGAAAATAAGCAGGCAAAGTGTATCTACAAGATATCTTACGTCACTGTACACTACTGCATTTTTCAAAAATAGTTGGTTCGTGGCTTCAAAGGGGGTGGTCAAATATCGGCAAAAATACTGCATTTCTATTGGTCTATAAAAATAAACCAAAAATAGTTGGGTTGGGTTCATTGACAACCCCTATTATATTTACCAAAAGACACCGGCACGGCAAACCAACACAACGACTATAACCGGCTTGCTCGCAGAAATACTCCTCACGGCTGACCAAAGCAAAACAGGGACGGCCGGGAAAATCAACATTTACTCCCAAGAATTGAATGCTAAATTTCTATTTCCCGGTCGTTCCAGGGGAAACATACTGTAGCAATCGGTGTTGGTGAAATGGGATTCTAATGAATAAAAGAACAGTCGAACATGTCGGACAGTTAAGTCGGACATTCGTGGTATCGAACGCGGACAGGAGTGCGGTTCGAATACGTACAGAGACAGAGAAGTATTGAAGGTAGATCCAGATCTGTGACTAGTTCGTGAAGAACATGTGCGCATGTGCTTTATACGCTGCGACAGCTGGTGAGAGCTGACGCAGATGGCTTCCGGAAGAGATATTTTGTACCTGCTTGTGGAGATCATTGTTGATTGACTTCTGGCAAGAATAGCAGTAGAATAAGATCTAATAGGAAGTGGTGAGACTGTTCATCCGCAGGTAGAAGCCCAGCATCACTGGCACCTGCTCCTATTGTAGGCAATCCATAGCCGATGTAGATTTGAGCTCAGATTTACTCCAGAGGTAGCTAGAGCATTGAGGCTCTCATTACAGCTACGGACGAGTTGATTATCTGACAGTCGATCAACAAAGGTAACTTTTGAACCTTGCAAAGTAGGAGAGACTACAGAGCAAGATGCCTGGTGGAAGACACCAAGGAAGAAGCGGCCGAGGAGGCCATGGCAGAAGATCTATCCAGCAGACCGGTCGAGGGTCTCAAGGAAAGAAGACCGAACGAAAGAAGCAGTACCATCCTCACAATCCTGAATATACTCATGGTCAGGTGACAGTGTACTTGCTTGAAGCTATTGCACTTAAGGGTTTGGATTACGCTCAAGACGCAATCGCGAGTGTACAAAATATGGCCCATGTGGACTTTGATGCTCTAAGAGGGAGCCAAACGGTCTCCAAACCGGAAAAGAACGATACTGAGTTCCACAAGAACTCAAGACAAGCTCAACTTGATAGGAACTGGGAAAATCTTAATAATAAGATTGACAAAAGGGAAGTGATCTACAACACAAATAAATATACTGTTGCTGCAATCATCACCAAGCATTTCATCACATCGGCAATGAGAGACAAATTGAGCAATGAAACTGATTGGATAGACCTCCAAGAAGACCACGTGAAGTTGTTGAAGCGTATGCAGACGTTCATGACTGTCACGGATGAGACCAAGTGGCAACACTTTGGACTCATGGAATCTCTCAAGAGATTCACGAACTTCACTCAGAAGCATATATATATAACTGATGCATTAATCGTATTTTAAAACTATCTCAAGTTTCTAGATTGCCGTTAACGGGCCATTTACCATACGGAGGTGAGTCCAGTACTGTTGAACCAGTTTGAGGCATCCAATCCCAAGGAAGTTGCTCGTATCGGATATTACATTGCACCCTTGCACATGTAGAAATGATCTTGCCACTCGAGGCGGCGTATTTTTATTTTATTTTTTGAGTTTTTGAAGGTGAAGGTGGACATGATTGTGTAGCACTGCCATGGGTGTATCGATCCAAGTGAATGGAGAGCGTCCCAATGGCACAGTGTTCCAGAACAATGTGGCAACCATCTACGTAACAGACTGCGGTTCCCTAGTCCTGTGGCCGACAGAGGGAGAGTGAAACATAGAGATAGAAAAAGAAAAACGAAAAACGAAAAGCCCCGAACCGATCGGAACTTGCAAACGGTCTTCGTAGCCTAAGTACTAGAGTCTACGTAGAACTTGCTGAAGTTTTTATCAATTCAACGGCATTTCACTGTTTTACAATGGAAAAGTCTACATCATTGAAGGTTGTCTCAACGACTGCCAACAAGGCGGGCGGGTCCACACCCAAATCGGTTTCTGTTGCCAAAAAGAGCGGAAAGAAAAGATTGGAAAATGCATCTGCAGTTGATTTACGTCAACCTAAGGATAGGGATCCTAGTGTCAACAATGATTCGGAGATTCAAGAGCTGATCGCATCTCTTCCACCACTGATCGACTTTGGGTTATCTACTCACGAATTGATTGCTATCGGCTACGACTATAATTCAACTAAGATTTTGTTTGGCAACTCCATTTTCAATCAATGGATGGAAAATCATAACGATCGGTGGACCCAAGCGCTCCCAAGGTTTGACAGCCCGTTCAAGGACCTCTACGCTAATTATTCAGTTGAAGTCAGGGTTAACATGCTATTCGCTCAATATGCGAACGATTGGTGGCGGGTGTTGAAATTCCTAATTTCGCTTTTTGACGATGACGCTTTGGGGAATGTGGAAAAAAATACAGAATACACATGGGGAGTGAGAGCAATTGCATTGCAAGTCGCCCAGCAGATTCCGTTTTCCTTTTTCGATGTTGGCCTCGTGAACAATTCCAAAGTGCCACAAGAAGATCTTTATTTTTTGAGGGACGATTGGACGAATCCCGCTCTACGTAATGAGACTCCCCTGGTGCAGTTTTGGTTGATGTGCGCTTCCATATTTGATCACCCATGGACGATGCTTTTTGACGAATTTCTCGAGGAGTCCCCAATCTCTTGCATTCAAGAAATAAAATTGAAGGTGATTGAGGGATTTCCCAACGACGAAACTAATAAGGTGGATATTCACAAGGGGTCAAAAAGATATTTGATCCTGACTACAAAGATTCTGAGGAGGAAGATGATCCGATGGGCGACGAGGACACTGGTCTTGTCAATAAGTTCGGCCAACCCGATGGGTGGGACTCTGACGAGACAGTTGACGACAACTCAAACGACAGGAGGAAAGATATGGAAATAGACGGCGAACTTGATTCTGGTGACGATTGCATCCACGACGACGACGATGACAAGGGCGAGGTGGAGGAGGATGACGAAGATACTGACGAATCGACCAAGGATTCTGTCATTCTCGTGGAAAGTTCTTACAAGACTACGGATACTGAAAACGACAAAGACACCAACAACATGGACCTGAATACGGATGAGGCAGTTTCCGAACTGACCGGTGTTACTGGTGAAGACAAGGATCCTGAATTGGCATCCCCGCCGAGGAAGAAGGGACGGTCCCACAGGGTTTCGGTGGTCGCTCCGTCTACAGAAATGGATGTGGACGGGAGCTCTTTGAGTGAACCCGGTGCTAAACGTACACATTCAGCGTCTGCTTCACAATCAACCACACCAACCGCACAGAAAACGGACACCACTTCCATGAAGCAAAGCTCTAAGGCCAAACGCAGACTACAACGCAGCTTGACATTGGAAGAACGCCTAGATGGGCTGCGACAAGTCAACTTGGACGGAATGGACGGTCAGGCTATCCTGGTTGAACTGGGAATGGCGTACAGCTATCAAGGTCAACAAGGGGGGAATACGACCCATGCCTCTATTATCTTGAACCATATTCTGGATACGCTGGCAGACGTCCTAAAGAACGCGGAGGAGACAATTCCCTTTCTTCCCTTGTCTGACAGCGCTTACAAGAAGTCTACGCAGTGGATCCGAACGGAAGCGGATCTTCGGCGGCTGATTCCCGATTACCGGAGCTTGTCCAAGTATCTGGACATGTCTTTCGGCAACATGTCATATGCCTCGACTTCTAATAAGCCAGGCGAAAAGAAGCTTCGTACAAGGATGAGAGTGGGTTTTGAGGTCGAGGTGGCGGCAGGAACGATTCGCCAATACCTACACAGCGAATTGCGTCCGCAAGGGTATGGAGCGGGATGCTATGAATCGGTTCTACAGTTTGGTGATATCGAAAAGATTGGGGCTTTGTGCTTCTATCCACAGGAAATTAACATCAGGGCTATGGAGAAAGAACTAATGCAACACTTTGACTGGAAGACGGTTATTGGCCTGCGGTACGAATGGGTAAACATTCCCTACAACGGCCGCAGCAAGTGGAATGAACAATCGCCCGGATGCATGATGTGGCATGTTTATGTCAGATCGAGGGACGCTAAGCGAGCGGATCGAGAACTACGCTTATGGCTGCACCCGTCTACCCCTAAGAAAGATTTTCCATGGTGCGCGGTCCCACACTACATTAGCGATTGGAAGGCTGCTCAGAACGGGACAATCAGCGTTAAGGCCGTGGGTCCGGTTAAGGATGAGAATCTCACTATGATCTCGAAGCATAACGACTTTGTGAAACTGACACAGGCCAAATATTGTCCAGTTGAGATTCCAGGGATGTTGAAACAGGCAACTACCAAAGCCTTTGGTCCTCGCACTTGTTTGTCTATGTTTCTTTCCATCAAAGCCCGACCAGTTCACGCGGAGAAAGTGGCAGCTTCGGATGTGAACTCGGATTCCGATTCTGATGACTCCTTGCTGGAGGACGTCTCCCACAAGTTCACCAAAGTGACTGTCAAAGGGAAGACGAAGATCAAGAAGCAACCTCCAAAGTCGGCTGTGGCACCGACTCTGGAGCATGACGGTCCGGTTCTCACCCCTGCGCAGCAGCGCCGTGCGAAGGAAGCGGAGAGGAAGAGAAAAATGGACTTGGAGAACAACGTTCCTAGTCCCTTGTTCATCATGG